CTCTGACTGCCCACCACGTTTTGTTTTGTTTTTAAAAACCATTTTCCCCCAGATCTGGTCTGAAAAAGGACGGTGAAACCCTAGCCCGGGGCGCTCGCATCCCTGCAGGGAGCCCGGGGCGCGCAGCCCGCGGCACGGGGGAGATGCGAGCGGCTGATAGCGCTGAGAAAGGAAGGATGTCGGGCCCGGCACAGGTGAGGGAGGAGGTGCCGCTGGGCTGGGCTGCAGCCCTGAGCACGGCAGATAATGTCACGCTGAGCTGTGGTTGACCGCAGCGGCCCCGTGACCGGGCGGCAGGGGCACAGCGGAACGGGCTCGTTTTCCCACAGCACGGCTCGCATGGGCATGGGTGAGAGCCCTCGGCACTGAAAACCCTTCCCCAGATGTTCGGGGGTGAGGGTGACAGACACACACACCCGTGGGGTGAAAACTGGGAAAGGACCAGAAGCCTTTCCAAGGGTCTCCAGGGGTTTTGTCACCACAGCCCCCAAGATGACAGCACCCTGCCCTGCACCCCTTTATTCAACACAAAATTTCTCCAGTGCTCAACCCACGTGAGCCCTCGGCACTGAAAACCCTTCCCCAGGTGTTCAGGGATGAGGGTGACAGACACACACACCCGTGGGGTGAAAACTGGGAAAGGATGAGAAGCCTTTCCAAGGGTCTCCAGGGGTTTCGTCACCACAGTCCCCAAAATGACAGCAACCTGCCCTGCACATGAAATTTCTCCACTGGGGTTGAGCCAGTGCTCAACCCATGCAAGTCCTCAGCATTAAAAACCCTTCCCCAGATGTTCGGGGATGAGGGACAGCCACACACACCCAGCTGGGGTGAAAATTGGGATGAAAACTGGGAAAGGATGAGAAGCCTTTCCAAGGGTCTCCAGGGGTTTCATCACCACAACCCCCAAGTTGACAGCACCCTGCCCTGCACCCCCTTTACCCAACACAAAATTTCTCCACTGGGGTTGAGCCAATGTTCAACCCATGAGAGCCCTCAGTACTAAAAACCCTTCCCCAGATGTTTGGGGATGAGGGTGACAGCCACACACACCCGGCTGGGATGGAAATTGGGATGAGAACTGGGAAAGGATGAGAAGCATGAGGTTCTCCAAGGGTCTCCAGGGGTTTCATCACCACGGCCTCCAAGATGACAGCCACCTGTCCTGCACCCCTTTACATGAAATTTCTCCACTGGGGTTGAGCCAGTGCTCAGCCCATGCAAGCCCTCAGTACTAAAAACCCTCCCCAGATGTTCGGGGATGAGGGTGACAGACACACACACGGGTGGGATGAAAACTGGGAAAGGACCAGGAGCCTTTCCAAGGGTCTCCATCGCCACTACCTCCAAGATGACAGCAACCTGCCCTGCACTCTCTTTACCCAACATGAAATTTCTCCACTGGGGTTGAGCCAGTGCTCAGCTCATGCGAGGCCCCAGCACTAAAAACCCTCCTCAGATGTTCAGGGATGAGGGTGACAGACACACACACCCGGCTGGGTTTTCCGTGGGATGAAAATTGGGAAAGGACCAGAAGCCTTTCCAGGGGTCTCCAGGGGTTTCATCACCACAGCCTCCAAGATGGCAGCCATTGTCCTGCACCCCTTTACCCAACATGAAATTTCTTCACTGGGGTTGAGCTATTATTGGGATTTTTGAATGAGTTAGAGATGAGACTTCTGAACTGGTTTTGATGATGTGGTTTATTTTATTTGTCTTTTATATAGGTAAGAAGGGTGAGTTTGGCTCACATCTTTATTGTATGGTTTAGAAAGTTATAAGACCCTTAATTACAAGACTTCTTAAGGATTTATTGATAATAAAACAAGGATATTTATGTTTTTTACTTAATCTTTAAATATTTCATCTTATGGACTCATGTTACAGTGTAAGCTTTCTTAGCCAATCATGTTATGACACACAAACCTACAGTACTGCATTCTAAATTCCTTGTTTACCCTTGTAACTACTTTTATTTTTATATCTCTAAAACTCTAAAACTCTAAACTTTCTTCTTTTTAACTTAAGGTGTCTTTGCTTTAAACTATAAATACACATTTTCACTTCTAGCACCTAAGTTTGGAAGCCTTTTCTGAGGTCTCAGGTAAAATCCTGTGTTTAATTCCAAGCTTGGCCTTACAAAGTTCTGAGAGCTCCTTGCATGCTGGATTCCAACAAGCCATAACTCTCCCCCTGTTTCCATTTATTTACCTCCAGGGGAGAAAGTTTGCTTGGATCTTCTTGAAAATGAAGCCAGTCCCTCCCCTCCTCCTCCTCCTCCTCCTCCTCCTCCTCCTTGGCAAAGGGGCTGCTCCGTGCCCCATGGGGCTGATCCTGGAGGTGCCACCCGAGAGTGGGAATGAAGGACAAATGCCCAGGAGGATGCCAGGGAGGAGCTGCAGTGATCAGGGCACAGCAGCAGCAGAAGGCTCTGGGATTTCAGGGCTCCAGCTCTGCCTCACAAAGCGGCTTAGGGCCAGCACAGCTGAGCCAGGGGATGGATTAGAGGCAAAACCGGCTCTGGCTCCGGGGAAATCTCTGCACAGGGGCTCAAGGTGCTCAGAGAGTGCCATGGTCCTCCCCTGGGAGCAGCTGGGCTCCTGGGTCCAGCACAGCTCCCAATGGCCTGTCCCAGCCTCCCTGTGCCCTGTCCCAGCCTCCCTGTGCCCTGTCCCAGCCTCCCTGTGCCCTGTCCCCATCCCCTTGGAGCTGCTCACTCTGGCATTTGCAGCCCAGCAAACGCTGCCCTGGCCCAGGCAGCCACAGAGCCCCTGGTGCCAGGCTGGGGATGGTGACCCAGACACAGTCAGGGTGGCACAGACAGGGTCAGGTTCCTCTTCCTTGCACTGTCTCAAGGAGGAGGTCACACCCCACGCTGGTGCCACTGCAGCAGCAGAGACCTCTGCTTTCAGTCTGGGGCTGCACCAGCACAAGGCTGCCCCTCCAGCAAGAGGAAATGTGGTCACAGGGGTGCTTTCAGCTGGGCAGCACCTCCCACCTGCAGCTGACTTTTAAAAATAATTAAAAAAAAAAAAAAAAGAACCAACACAAAAACCCCCAAGTCTCCAAAACTAAATTAATCTCTTAAATTATTTTCATATGCTTGTGCAAAATCACAGCCCAGGTCTCTGGAGACAGAAGAGACTTGTCTGGTTGATTTCCTGGGATTTTCCCTGCATGGATGTGACTTTTGATGGCAGATCCATCCATTGCAGTCCTGTTCCCACATTCCCTGGTCCCAGAGTAGGAGCAGTGGCTGCACAGGATGCCACAGGCCAGCCCTGCCAGGGGATGTTCCCTGGGTGGAAATTACCACAGCTGGGAGCTGGAGGGCTTTGAGAACCCATGGCCCTGGCTTTCCTTGTGATGAGGAACACAAGAACATCGTGGTCTGGGAGCTGGGAGGCTCCAGCTCCAATTCAGGCTGTGCTTGTGGCACAGATGAGAGCAGACACAGCCATGCCCCTTGTCTGGGAACAAGCAGAGAGAGGCTGGAATGGATGGATCTGCCAGTTAATCAAAAATCATGGAAAATCCCAGGAAATCAAGCAGACAAGTCTCTTCTGTTGCCACCCTTCTGGACACAGTGGGCTCTTTGAAACATCACCCTGTGTGGGAATTCCACATCTCCCTGCTCCCAGCATTCCTGCTCCCCAGAGGAACACATCCAACAGCTTTTCCTCTCCACCTTAAAAAAAAAAACAAAAACAAAACAAAAACCAAGCAGTTTTTACCTAAATCATCTTAACCTGGAGGGATGCTGCAGAATTGGTAGACTGGCATGATATTTTCAGGAGGAATTTCTGCATGCAAAGGGTGCTCAGGCCTTGGCAGGGGCTGCCCAGGGAGCTTTGCAGTGCCCAGCCCTGCAGGTGTCCCAGCAAGGGCTGGAGGTGGCACTCAGTGCTCTGGGCTGGGGACAAGGGGGGGCTCCACGGGCTGGGAGGGATTTTCCCACCCCATTGATCCTGGCATCTGAGGAAGGAGCAATTTGAGACTCACCAGGATTTGAAAAAGCTCCAAATTGAAAAATCTCATGACTCAAAAACATCTCTGAATCTGTGATTTGGGCACTTCAAGGCATCAGGGTGACCAAAGCTGAGAGATTGATGAAAGGAGGAGTCAGAGACATCTGCACTGGTCTGGCACTGCTGGTGTCAGAGGCTGATGCTGACACAAAGCCCCTGAAAGAGCATCACAGCCCTTCAGAGAGCAACCACTGAGCCAAACATGCCTCACATTCAGTTTTCTGCCTACTTTTTAAATTAACAAGTCTTAAATTCTTAGTGTCACTTAAAATACTCCACAAGAAATGGCCAAAGGCAGCAGTAAATCACTGTGGTCAGCTGGTGTGATACAGGATGTCAGATTTGGGTGAAATAAGAAAAACAGAGGCTGAATTGTACTCCTCTAATGGTTTAAATCCTGTCTGCTATATTTTGTTATTTTCAGTGCTGTGGTAGAGAGGTACTAGACATGTGATTGAAGAGGAAGGGCAAGTTAAAATGCCATTTAAAATAAATAAATTATTTCTTGCTTAATTTCTGAGGAATTTCTGAACCAATCCAGTGCCACCCCTGCCATGGCAGGGACACCTTCCCCTGTCCCAGGCTGCTCCAGCCTGGCCTTGGGCACTGCCAGGGATGCAGGGGCAGCCCCAGCTGCTCTGGGCACCCTGTGCCAGGGCCTGCCCACCCTGCCAGGGAACAATTCCTCATTCCCAAGATCCCATCCAGCCCTGCCCTCTGGCACTGGGAGCCATTCCCCTGTGTCCTGTCACTAGGACAAGGAGAAAATAAGGAGTTACCAAGGAATAAACTCTGCAGCTTCATGGATTTTTGTGCTGCTTCAAGTCAGGCTCCTCTCCTTGACATAATTTTCATGGGCTGTAAAAGTACCAGGAGACCTGGCAAGAGTGCTGGAGCTCTGTGCCTCTGCCTACAGCCAGGGAAAGTCTTATTTTAATCAAAGTAACCACTCTGAGCACAGATCCTGGAAAATTCAATTTAATTCCATCCCAATAATTATTCCAGGGTGCTGATACATCTTCCTTTCTTTGTTTCTTGCAAGATGATGTTGATGTTAAACTCAAATTTGATCCATCACAGCAAAAATTCATAACAAATCTAGAGGAATTTTAGCAGCCTGAGTTTGAAATTGCTCTAAATGAGGCTTCACAGCCTCTGCAAGGCTCATGGCAGACTCAATGCAGCCATCAAAGTTGGAACGAGTGAATCCATCACCCCCACAGATCAGGAGAGGCTGAGTGTGAAGAATCATCTGTCCTGGACAATTGGGCACAGCTCTGGTAACCTGAGAATGAGAAACATAAAGGGAGTGGGGAGAGCAAGTATTTCATTGACCTGAATTTCACACCAGAAAGATCTGTGCTCCTGAGATGCACATCACAGAACCACAGGATGGTTTGGGTTGGAAGGGACCTTAAAAATCATCTCTGCCATGTACAGGGACCTTCCACTATCCCAGGCTGCTCCAAGCCCTGTCCAGCCTGGCCTCCCACTCCCAAAGGTAAATCCAAACATTAACCATCAAGGCACCACAGTAAAATACTTACTTCTGGGAGGTGAATAGAGTGAAACTTGATTGTGAGTGGAAATTTAGAAACTGTACAGCTCGTTGTGTTTTATTCTCAGTAGATATGACTTGTCTGAGATCCAAAAAGGTGTGAGGGTGATCTCACATCAGCAAAGTGGGGCTTGCAAAATCCCAGACAGGTTCAACCTCCTGTCTCTGGATCACATAATCCCAGTGTCCCTGAGGCTGGAAAATCCCTGCCAGCCCATGGAGTGCCAGCTGTGCCCAGTGCCCACCTTGTCCCCAGCCCAGAGCACTGAGTGCCACCTCCAGCCCTTGCTGGGACACCTGCAGGGCTGGGCACTGCAAAGCTCCCTGGGCAGCCCCTGCCAAGGCCTGAGCACCCTTTGCATGCAGAAATTGCTGCTGCTGTCTACCCTACTAAAGCATGAGACTCTTACAATTTTCTTTTGATGATTCCATGGATTTCCACCCAGTAAACCATTGCTGTATCCCCTTGTGGGACTGTCAACTTCCAAGGAATCTTGCTAAATCCAGGGGATTTTTCCACTGATTCAGATGTACCCTCAGCTGGCCACTGCTGAGACATTCTCTGCCACTGCCAAGTGTGGATGAGCTGCAAAGCACCCACATTTATGTTGCTGGCTGCATTTTCTGCTACTGGGTGTTACCATCTCTCCAAAGGAGGAAATTAGCTGAAATAACCAATTGTAATCCCTTACACTTTATTCAGCTATGCAGGTATGGCAAATCCAGAGAGAGCTTCTCCCTCAGACCAGTTTTAAGTCAGTACTTAATTTATTCCTGAATTTTTCTCACAGATCGAGCTGAGTACAAACAATGCAGAAAGACTTGGCAGAAAAAGTCTTTTTTGAGTGTCCTTTCTCTTTGACTACCCAGTGTTTATTTGGTGCTGGTTGTACCAAACAGCTCCTACCCCTCCTGGTATTTGGTCAAACATCTTGGAGGTGTTTTCCAGCCTCAGTAATTCCATATGAAGTGACAAAGTGTCAAAGACACACGGAGGGTTGGGAAGCTGCTGGCTCTGAATGCTAATGGTGCCTTCACCATAATTAGAGCAAGGGGATCCAGAGCTGCAGCTGTGCTGCTAAGTAGTGTCAGTAGAATTTTGGAAGTCCTAATCCCTCATCTGCCATGGATAATTGTAATGTCTGCATTTTAATCCCAGGATTGTGTTTGGCCATGTGAAGGATGTTACAGCCGGATTTAATTAATGAGCAGGATAAATCCCAACTAAAAGAGTCAGGGGAAACAGGCACCCATCTTATCAGTTCCCTTGGCCTCTGTGGCAACAGCTTATTATAATTGAAAGTAAAGAGAGCTTTAGGAGAAAGAGGGAGCTCTGCCCCAGATATTTCATTTAGGCAGTGATTATTTTATAGGGTGGCTTTAGAGATCTCTTTATTGAGATAACGGGTCTGACCTACACGGACTTATCTGCAACCTAAGACATATTGACATTCATCCACCAAATTACAGGCTGGTGATAATTCCTCCTGTGGCACCAGCAGCTGCTGGACTCAGAGCCCTGGCTGGCAGCAGCAACAGAAGCAGGAGTTGGATGGGGTTTGGGAACCCTTCCCAGACTTGGATCTATTGTATTTGCAGGGACTGCCCTGATGAAGGCAGGAATGATGCATTTGATTTTATGTTTTTAAAAGGTTAATTTATTACTTTATTATACTATATTATATTAATGAATATTATATTATACCATACTAAAAAATACAGAAATTTACTGAATGTTATAAAGATAATAATGAAAACTTGTGACTCTTTTTAGAGTCCCAACACAGCTTGGCTAATGAGTTAAAAGAACTCACACTAGAATTTAATTAGGTGATTACTTTTGGGTAAACAAATTTTAAATACATTCTACATGAGCAAAACACAGGAGAAGCAAATGAGATAATAATTGTTTTCCTTTTCTTTGAGGCTTCTCAGCTTCCCAGGAGAAAAATCCTGGGCAAAGGGATTTTTTCAGAGAATGTGAATGTCACATGGATCCAACTTTTCTCCCCCACTCCCACCCACAGCTCTCGTGAGCACCAGCAGCTCTCAGCAGGTAAGGCAGGAGAAAAGTCAGATGTCACAACCAGGGAACCTTAGCAGTGACACCTCTTTGTCCAAAAAACCCCCCCTGAACTGATAAAGAGGAACTTAAAGAACACACCACGATTTTGGTAGGTTTTATATAAGTATTAATTCCCATGCTGAGGTTGCTTTTGCAATCCACCAATACTTTACTTGCAGAAAAATAAACTTTGTGCTAACCAGACCAGGTTCCCAAACTGGATGTAGATCAAGGGGTATGAGCAGACTCCACAACAGCCATCCACAGCAATTTCAAAAAAGGAAAAATTTTTAGGGGACTGCTTTAAAAGTAAATATTTTGTATGAACCTCCACGTTAAAATTCACCAATGTAAATTAACTTGAGAGGCTTTGGGTAAACATGGAGATACACTCCAATACTTTAGGAAATCGCCAACAATTTCCTTGGATTTTTAAAAGAAGCCTGCAAAATATGCACATTTTGCTATTAGTACCCTTAGGTAGTTTACTTTAAAATCCTTTTCATATAACATTCTGTTAAATTGAGCTGGGCCAAATCAAATAATAACAATTAGTACGTCTGTACCTCTGCTCTTCTGTGGCAGGGTGGGAATTTTGCTAATAATACCACGTACTTTTGGATGCACACAGATGTACTGAGTCAGGATTTTTAAATACCAGTGAAAATCCCACCGAATTACGTGGGATTTACTTCCTTCCTGTACACTGCTCCTGCCCCTGCTTACCAGGAGAGCTGCACAACTCACTGCTGAGCCAGGCCAAGGATGTTAGAAAATGGCTAAAAATGACCTGGCTGTGCTGGCCAGCCCTGGATGCTGCTCATGGCTGCCTGGAGGAATTTGTTATGGATACTGAGCAACCATCCCCTCTCCTCTTGCTCCCTGAGGATGGAAAATGCAGCCCCAGCAGGTCCTCCCAGCTGAGTACCTGGGAGTATCTCCATCTCTGGCACTTGATGCTGCTTGGTTTAGGCAGGGAGGGCACAATCCTCTGCAGGTGGCTGAGAATGATCTGCTGCACCTCCTCAGGGTCTGAGTCCAGGTGCTCGCTGCCAAAGGCCACAGTGGTGTGCACCACGACTGAGGGCCCAATTTCAGGAGACTCTGGAAGAAAGAAAGGAAGGGGAGAGGTGCTTTTGAAGCATTGCTCATTCATACCTGCCTTCCACACATGCTCTGGCCACAATTGTGCCTCTGGCCTGGGAGTCAGTAAGAACAAAAATGCCTGTGGTACCACTCTGTTCTTCCAGATGGGAAAAAAGCACATGGAATAACACACAAGTCAAGGAGGACAATCTCTGCAACAGCCTGGCCTTGGACACTTCCAGGGATCCTGGGGCAGCCACAGCTGCCAGGGCCTCACTGTAAAAAAATTGGGTTTTTTATCTCATCTAAATCGACCCTCCCTCAGTTTAAAGCCATCACCCTTTGTCCTATCACAAAAATTTGTTCTCATCTATGAAATCATAGCTCAAGCGCTGATGTTGATCCCAGCGGACTTGGAAAGGGCCAGGCTTTGTTACATTTGGGGCTGGCTGCAGGTTCTCTGCAGCAGGTGACTCCTGTCCCCTTGGCATGTTGGCTTGTCACCTTACAGATGTGGCCTAACAACCAGGAGCCAGGGAATTTGCCTGGATGAGGGGATTTTTGGGTGCCCCAATGAGCCCTGAGGATGGAGCAGGGACACCCCATGGGGTTATGCTGCATTTCAGCTGAGCTGGCTGTTCAGTCAAGTGATTCCCCCTCACTCCCTTACCCAGCAACTCCCTCCTTGGGAAGCCTCTCCTGGTTAGACTTTGTTTGGACTAGCACATTCCTAGAAGAAGATTTTCTTTTCAGCAAACCAGTGTATTCTGACCCAGGAATCAAGGTGCTGACAAGGAAAGAGGTGCTTGAACACTTGCTGACCATTCTGGCTGTTAGGCACCAAGCTTGATAAACTCCTTATCTCTGCTCTGCCACTGAAGAAACCAGATCCTCAAGCTCCCCTCTGGGAAGATGAGACATTCCAGCTTTCCAAAACGATTGTTGGAGTGCTCAGGGGTCATCCAAGGGCCACACCCTGGTCTCCAGCAGAAAACTGTCCATGGATGTGATAGGCCCACATCTCCCACAGGAGTGTTCTCCTCATTTTAGGGGAACAGCATTGAGTGTTTTTCTCACATTGCTGCCCAAAACCTGGAGCCGTAACGGGTCCCAATAAAAACCGCGATGCATTTGTTTCCTGACCCTCAGGGATTTGTAAGCTTCCTGGGGAGATGTGTTTTTCCATCTGAACCCCATTCTGGTCCTGGGTAGCAGGAGGGGAAGGGTTTTTGCCATACCAAACAAACCCTGGAAGAAGAGAATGCTGCTGGGGCAGCATGGAGGGCAGCAGAGAAGCTGGACACCTCCAGATAGGCTGGAACTGCATCCCTGCTCCCTGGGAGGCTTCACACCCTGCCAAAAAAGAAATCAATGTGCAGGCCTCATAAACCCTACCCACAAGTTCAAAAGGAGCAGTGATCAACTTTACTACACCTAGAGAGCAAGAGAAGTGCAAGGTCACTTTCAAAATGCCACGCTGCTGTTTGGGAGGAGGGCCAGTGAGCTTCCCCATTATCCTCAGAAATTCCCGTGGTTCCTAAGGTCCCATGTTCTCCCTGGAATAAAATCTACTCCCTGAGAAGGCACATTTGGGAGGAGTCATGGAAAGAATGGCACTAACTTATTCATATTCAGAAACCCAGCATTTCATTAGCCTTACCAACAGTTTCTGATTATTTTTCTAAGAGGCAGGCAGGGCTGGCAGAGGATTACAACACAACTGGCTGTGTAACAAGGCAAAAACTTAAACAGTTCTTTAACTCCTTCATCTTCCTAAAAATTCTTATTTCAGGAAGGAATGGAATCTCAATTTCAAAATTGAAGAGGCTACTCAGGAATTATACAATGCCAAAAAACCTGCAAGGCAGATCTTCCCTTTGAATTACATAACCCCACAATCCTGGAGCAAAAGAAAGGAACCACTTCCCCTTTGATGTGTCATCTATCTTTAGTCCTCCTGGAATGCAGAGAGATGCAAAGACTGCAGTATTCCAGAAATAATTGATGCTGGAGAATTCCCAGTGTCCCCCCCGACCTGGTATAAATATGGATGGGGTGTTTGAGGCAGCCAATCCCACAAAGTGTTTAATATTCATGCACGGCACACGGGGAATTCAGCACACGCTTCTGGTGGGCTCTCCCTTACGTAACATCACCTCTGCAGCAGGCATGGGATTCTGCCCACAGCAGCTGGGATCCTCAGCTGCTGGGAAAAGCCTTCCCTCCTGGAGGCTCCTGGTTACACCAGGAATTGGTGGCACCAGGGAAATTGCTTTATCAAACCCACCCTGCTGTGTGATTACAACAGCAAGGCCGGTTTGGGTTTCACTGGTGCAACGCCCACGAGTTGGATGGCTCTGCTTTACTGAGTCGAGGCAGGGACTGCCACATCTCAGACAAGTGACAAGGACAGTCTGGGCTTCCAACAGCCTTTGCTGCTGGCCTTGGAGGGCTGGACTAGCTGCTTCAGGGAGATGTTCTCTGAGTCCCTCAGCAGAAAGCTCACGGGATCATAGAATCATAAAATGGATTGAGGATCATCCAGCTCCAAACCTTCTGCAGGGGACAACTACAAGAAAATAACTAGTTATTTTCTCTGGATCTCTACTGTTCAAGGCTGTTGATGAAAAAGCTATTATTTGAGGTGCCAGTGAGGGTGAGATAAGCCTCCATTTATTGTGGGTACATCAGGTGAAGAAACAACTGGAGAAAGTGACGGCTTTTAGGGAATGATGGCTGCCCTGGAAGATCTCAGCTGCCTCACCCAGCAATTCTGCTTTCTCTGAATGTTTATTTTTTGGTTGTCACCATCCTCTTCTTCAGATGAGTCCAAATAATCAAGGTTGAAGAACAGAAAAGTGGGAAAATGATGAGTGGAGTGGAGTTAAAAGGGACAGCGAGGTGCTCCTGTGCCTCCCGCTGAAATCTTCTGCAGGGCAGAGGAAGCACAGGAAGAAAAATGCAGATGCAAAATACTTGCATATGTGCTAAAACAAGCATAAAGGAACTTTTTATTCATGTGTTTTGGTTGCAGGACTTCACATGTAAATAAATTTCACACTCAACCTCCCTTGCCTGTGCTGTCTAAAGCCTGTCTCCTAGGAAGAGACACACACACACACAATTTGTTCTTCTTGGAAAAATTTGCTCATATAAACAGAACTCTCCCACAATTCAAAGGAAATTTTCAGTGAGAAAGGTATGTGTCAACACTGATGTTCTGGTACTTTCTACATATTTGTTAACAATATGCCCCAAATAATGTGCTTTGTTCTTGGTTCAATTGCATCTGGAGACAGCAAAGCTGTTTGATAATTCCATCACAGTTCCATATTTGCTGTTCTTGGTGCTGGGGCTTTGAGACCACATGTGCAGAGAGGTGGGGAAAGTATGGGTGAATTCCTCCTTGACACTGGGAAGGACAATATCAGAAGGTCCTATTAATTATCAGGTATTTTTCGTTGAACACAACAATGGCAACAGAATCTCAGATGCAAGAAAATCTCCAGCTGAACACTGTCAGTAACAAGGAGACAATGCCAGAGGAAAAAATATCACTCTGTATTTGGCTTTCCTTAGGCTCTTTTTTCACATATTCACCTAAGTCTCTGCTGGAGAAAGCACATCAGGGTGGCTGCATCCTTATTTTGGCCAGTCCAGCCATTCTTCTGTTTTGTTTTCACTCTTTTCAGATCAACAGGCTAAATTCTTAGGGCAAACAACAAATGTGTGCTTGCACAGAGGAATGGAGAATCTCTCCTATAAGGAGGAGGCTGAGTGAGCTGGGAGTGTTCTCCCTGGAGAAGGGAAAGCTCTGGAGAGTTCTCAGAGCCCCTTCCAGGGCCTAAAAGGGGCTTCAGGAGAGCTGGGGAGGGACTTGGGACAGGGAATGGAGTGCCAGGCCACAGGGAATGGCTTCCCAGTGCCAGGGGGCAGGGCTGGATGGGATATTGGGAATGAGGAATTGTTCCCTGGCAGGGTGGGCAGGCCCTGGCACAGGGTGCCCAGAGCAGCTGGGGCTGCCCCTGCATCCCTGGCAGTGCCCAAGGCCAGGCTGGATTGTGGAAGGTGTCCCTGCCCATGGCAGGGGGTGGAACTTTGTGTCTTTGAGGTCCCTCACAAGCCAAACCATGCTGGATTCTGTGACTCTGACTGGTCTGCAGGTGTTTTTTCTTGAGCTATTCTATGCCAGCCCACTCCTGGTAGGTGAAACACATTTAATAAATAAAACACACACTTCCTCAGCTGCCATCCTCCAGAAAGACAGGAGAAGGGTCTGTCTTGGGGGAATATTCTCCAAAGCCCTACCAAGCACATGCAGCCATTTCAGGGACTCTCCCTAGTCACAGAAGCAGCCTGGCTGACTGAACTGGGCTGAGCAGCTCCAATTACCCAAGTCATTCTTGCTTCCAAAGCCTTGAGGAGAGAGCAGGAGCTGCAGAGTAATGGGTGACAGGAGACAAAGCGGCGAGTGCACGGATCACTGTTCAAACAAAGGAACCCCAGCTCTTTCTTGGAATAGCAACATTTTGATGTCTCCAATCCCCTGCCACTGGTCTCATAAAGGCAGTAACATAAACCATGTGCTGGGGGCTGATTTTCTGAGGGCCAGCCCGCTCTCATTGTGCGCTTCATTACAGGCCAAAGGCGACATGAAACGCCATCCGCCGCGGCCGGGAGTTAAACACTGGAGTTAAACACTCCCTCTGTTCAGAGCAGCAACACTCAATTAAACAGCATTTCTCATGCTCTGCACCCTCCATTGTGGCTGTGTTTAAGGGGAATAATGGGAGCACTGACCTATATTGCGCTTCTTGTTATCGATGGAGATGAAGCGCACGCAGGGATTATCGGCGACGTAGCGAGCAGCCCAGGGGACACCAACCCCTGTGCCAGCCTCATAGAACAGTCCCAGGGCATAACGGGATGAGTAGCTCACAGATTCCAGTTGCTGCTTTTGACTTTCATTAATTACTGTGAAAAGAGAGAGAAAAAAAAAATAAATAAAAAAAGGGGAAAAGGAAATCAGACAATCCCTCTCCGCTCAGAACATTAAATATGGGAATGCTGCGGTTAAGCTGATTATTCCTTCCTGAAAATGACCAGACTGCTAAAACTAAGAATTTAATATTAAGCCCTGTGCTTTGTGGTATTTTTTTTTTCTGGGACACCTCTTCATGAAGTTTTAATGGTGCATTATGTGGAGTGTGTCCTTCACACACGACCCTCCCCCAGCTGCTGGGGGTTCATCACCCAGCTCTCCCTTCTAACTTGAAATTTCCATGATTTTGGTGACTTTTTGTTTCAAATCTTCTCTCCAAGGGTGAATAAATAGCAATAAAATGCTTGGGTTCCCTCAAGGACATCAAGTAAATGGTCATATGGCTCGACAAGCACCAAAATGATTTCACATATCAACAAAATGAACTCAGAGCCTCTTGAACCTCTGGGGAGAAGAGCCCTGTGACTTCTGTGCTGCAATTCAAATGAATGAAGAAAACCACACTTCAGCCTGCAAAAGCATCAGAGTGAAGTTCAGCTCCTTCAGCTGAAGGAATTTTAAAGCATTTTGGAAAATTTCAGAGCAAGCACGAATCCTAATTCCTCCCCATGATTAACTCTTCTATCTTCTAATTACAGCAAGATCTGCTTTTTGCTGCAATTTTGTAATCTTCATAAAAAGCTGCACAAAGTAGCATTAGCCCCACGGTGAGCATTCAAATACTATTTAATTTCATGCCACAGGGAAATCCACCAGCTTGGCTAATTGTGGAGCTCAGTCCCATGTCTCTCTCCTCCTGTGACTGGATGGATGTCCAAGGCTTCTGTGAGCTGGAGCAGCACACAGCAGAGACAACAGCTCAGCTGATGCTGCATGAAGAAAGGAACAGCTCACCCCACAATGGGGCAGGCTGACCAAACTCATGGCACAGCACTGTGTCCTGCCAGCTCTCCCAGCTGAGGGGCTCCTGGTGGGTCTCCCCCATCAGCCTGACCTAATGCCCAGCATATCAGAGGATCACAAGTCAGATTCCGCCTCAAATCCCACCAGAAACCCACCCTGAAATGTCCCCAAGGGGAAAAAAAAAACCTGAAAAAACTTGGGGAGTTTTTTTCACATTTTCCCCACGAATATGCTGGGGAACAGAGAAATGGGGAGAGCAGAAAGAAACACTGACCAAGGCACAAAACCTGGGGAGAGGAAAGGAGGAGAAACAGGCTGAGGACAGGCTGCAGTGCCCAGCGCCTGCAGGTGCTTGGGGACAGTGACAGGCTGCTCACCTGGTGACATGTGAACCCCAGAGGAGCTCACACAGGATCCCTGAGGCTGGAAAATCCCTGCCAGCCCATGGAGTGCCAGCTGTGCCCAGTGCCCACCTTGTGCCCAGCCCAGAGCCCTGAGTGCCACCTGCAGCCCTTGCTGGGACACCTGCAGGGCTGGGCACTGCAAAGCTCCCTGGGCAGCCCCTGCCAAGGCCTGAGCACCCCTTTCTGAGAAAAAAGGTTCCTCCAGACCCCCAGGCTAAGCCAGAGCTGGGAGGGAACCTGCAGGCTGGAAGCAGGAGGGCCCTGGAGCCCTGGCCAGGCTCAGGGCAGCTGTCCCAGGTCACTGGGGCCACATCAGGGCATCCCTCAGCAGGGGGATCCCCCAGCACCCCATCCCAGGGCTGCTCCCCTGGGGCTGCCCGGGGTTTCCTGTGCCCCAGCTGTGCCTCTGGTCTCTTTCTGACCACACCATAAACCAGAACTGACTAAAACCCATCATCCCCAACAGTCAGCTTCATACCCCAAAATTTGAAAATTTGAAAGTGCATTAATTCAATTACCGACTTGTGTTTGCCAACTAATTTCCTTCACTACTGCTTAGGTTCTTCAAAAAAAAAAAAAAAAAAGTCTGTGGTTCACTGGGTTCTAAGCAGCTGCATATTTACCAAATGGAGGAAGTTTCTATAGCTTGAGAAGGCAGGCAAGAAAGTGACGTCAAATTTGAAATCCAGCAACAAAAAAAGCTGAGCTATGTGCAAAAACAAAGCTAAGAGCTGTAGGATTGAGGTTTTTCCCCTGCTCCATCCATTATGCATTTCAGCAAGGCCAACAAGTTGATCTAAGGACATGGAGAGAACCTTCATTTTGAATTTCCATACTTTGATTGGTTTAAATGAAAACCAGACTGTTGTTTTAACGCTGGGTATGAAACCACAAAATAACTATTAACTTTTCCCCTTCCAACAAAAACGGTTACGATGATTTTAATAACATTTTGGGAAAAAAAAAATAAAAAAACCAAAATAACAAAACAACCCAAGCTTTTAGAACACAGAATTGCCCAGCATAGAGCCATAGTGATATTTTTAAAGCAATGCATGAAGACATGAAAATCTTGTATTTTCCACTGCAAGACTCAGCTCCAGCTGCACTGTGAGCACCACTGAAGTGAGTGTCCTCTGGAGATTTCATCACATCAAAGCAAGGGCCATGTATACTTTATTTGCTGTTTCTGCAGACACTGACAGCAGAGTGGATTACTTATCTGTAACACTCAATAAATACAGCCAGGGCCTTTTATCTGCTGTTCCAGGGCTTTAATGTCACCTCGCTGCCTCACTGGTGTTGTGGGAAGGAGAGGACCCAGAGATGCCATCAGGGCCAAGGCTGGAGCTGGCAGGCTGGGAGCACGGGCACCATGCCATGAAGGAGGGAGCCCAGCCTCCCACACAGAGCCAGGGAGGCAAAAATAAACCCAGCTGCTCCAACAGCCTGGAACTGACTGGGGTGATCAAGGTTTCACCCCGGGCTTTTTGCTCTTTCTGCCAGAAAGTGCAGGAGGAGGTTGCAACATCACGGAATCACAGACTGGTTTGGGTTGGAAGGGACCTTAAAAATCATCTCTGCCATGGGCAGGGACACCACTGTGCTAGGATGCTCCAAGCTCCATCCAGCCTGGCCTTGGGCACTGCCAGGGATCCAGGGGCAGCCCCAGCTGTGCCAGGGCCTGCCCAGCCTGCCAGGGAACAATTCCTAATTCCCAATATCCCATCCAGCCCTGCCCTCTGGCAGTGGGAAGACACCCTGCTTTGCAGAGAGGCACTGCAGGAGGGCACAGCTGCATCCCTCACCACCAGCTCCTGGCCATTGTCAGAGAATCCAGCAAGGGCTGGGCTCCCTGCTGCACCTTTGTGCAAGCAGAGATGGGCAAGAGCCACCATGGCTCAGTGCAGGACTCAGGGGGCTGAAACCATGTCAGGACTGCAGGGAACACCAGATGCTGCCATGTGAGAAGTATTTAAAACAAGACTTGTTTTGGAAAGTTTCACTATTGCTAATTCAGCACTGCTAAAAGCTTGTGGGGACTCATGTCCCCATGAAGTCACCACATGACATCAGAGCTCAGCTGGGACGCCTGCAGCCAGATCATGCATGACCCCAAGGGTGTGGGGGCAAACTTGGGCAAAGAAACCAAGATCCTGCTTTAAAGGCTTCCAGGGATGAGAGGGAAAACCCTCACTTTGTTTCACCAGCCAGCCTTGCTGAGTGGCAGGGGGGATTTTGCATCCTGACAATCAGCAGCTCCAAGAAAGGGTAACAAACAGCCAGAACTATCTTCTGCTTTAGTGCACAGCAGCCACTGCCTAGAATGCTCAAAATCACTTATTAAGGCATTGCCAAGGTGACTAAATCTAGAGCTAATAGACATGACCAACCACCAAAGCAGTAAGGAAAAAAAAACCCCTTTGGCAGTACTTTGAAGGAATGAAAGTGCTATAAAAACTGCAAAATATGAGGATGCTGGACTTTGTACTTCAGGAGAAGATGGCTCTTTTTCACCTTAACTTCTTTCACTCTAAACTTCTTATTCTAATAATTCCATTTTGATGGGAATAGCATTAGAGCCTGGCTTGAACTTTGTGACTTTGTCACTGCCCAGCCACCCTGCAGCTTCCTCCACCTTCTTCATTTTTCCTCCCACTTCATTTCAGTGACCACCTGCCTCTCTCACAGCTATGCCCTCAATAACCCCACCACTGACCCTGTGCCCCAAGAGGTTTTGTGGCTTCCTTAGCCTGCTTTGCTTAAGATTCTACTTGCAGCAAATCCCCACACATGACCCAGACTCTGCTGGTGGCAGGGCATCTGTGAGTGCCCAGTGCCCACCACTGCTCTGAAAGCTGAAAAGGAAACTGTGGTTAAACGGCTACAAAGCTATTTTCAGCTCAGGTATCAGGCTGAGGGATCTCCAGAGATTCACCCAGCAGAATGGGCAGCTCAGATGGTATCTGCAGGGACAGTTCATTGTCACAGCTCTGCTCAGGAGGTGGCTTGGGCTGGCGTTATCACAACATTCATTCACACACCAAAGCCTGCTTGGATGGGCACCTCTGCTTGCCCAGCAGGGACCTCTCCCACTGCTCTCCAGAGGCAGGAGCTGCTGCCCTGAGCTCTCCAGCTGCGTGGGGACAAAGGACAGGCCCTGCAGGCCAGGCTCTCAGCAGTGGCCATGCCACTGGCCCCGTGCCACCGCGCTGGCCGCAGCCCGTTCCCGCTGCTGCTCTGCGTGGGAGGGAGCAGAGGTTATGAGAAAGGCTCCACTTTTAATCCAGCTTCCTTATCAAACAGCTCAGAAGTTTGTTGGGTTAGTTTTTGTTTTTTTTTTTATTTTTAAAAAGGCAGAGTAACAGTTAAAACCAGCCATGGCTGTGTCTGCACTGAAATGGTCACTAAATGCAGTTATTGCTGTGATATTCTTCCCAATGCTGGAATAACCCTGCTCACCTCTATATGTGTGTTTGCAAGAACAAGGACCTAAATAATTACTTCAAATCACAGCAGCCCTGGCTCACTTGGCACAAAGCTTTGTTATCTCAAGTCTGTGGCACATGAAGGAAAGGCACATGTAGAAATGTAGATGATGAAGAAGAAAAGAGATGTTGGGGGAGAAAAAGGCAGCACAACTGAGTTTTTTTATGAAGTTTCTG